AGAATAGTAGGACATTTGTGGCCCAGGCTGACTACCTGAGGTTAATCCCCTTGCCCTACAGTGTGGAAAGACCAGACTCTTGTAAGTTGTCCTCTGACCTCTCCAGACCTGTATAATAATAATAATAATAATAATAATAATAATAATAATAATAATAATAATAATAAAAATAATAAAGACATGTGAGCCAGGGCACTCTTGGGGAAAGCTGTGGCACAACAGAATCCTTTAAGGTCAAGGTTTCTCGGCTGGAGACCACAGGTGTCCCAGGCCATGTGGAGATGCACAGAGGGACAGACACTGGAAACTCTTTTGCACCCAAAAGAGGCTTTCGATCCTTCTCATCATGCTGCCCTCAACTTTTTCCCAACATCTACTAAAAGAGGGGTTGGCTGGACTACAAGGCCTTTTGTTGTTGTTGTTGCTGGTTTGTTTGTTTTTGGTTTTTTTTTTTTTTTTTTGTGACAGGGTTTCTCTGTTTGCCCTGGCTGTCCTGGAACTCACTCTGTAGACCAGGCTGGCCTCAGACTCACAGAGATCCACCTGCTTCTGCCTTCCGAGTGCTGGCCTCTTGTTTTGTTTTGTTTTAAGAGATGAAATTCAAAACAGCTAGAGGGGGCCTAGGAGATGTGTTAGAGATTTTTTTTTTCAATTCACCCATTCATTCAATGGCCAATGCCCTCCCCCCCACCAGGCTGCAGAGAGAACATCTAAATATTTGTCCGTGACAAATATAGTTGGGGTGGGTGACCTGAATCACCCTGGTGATGAGTCCAGGCTGCGGTGCTTACCTGCTGTTGGGAACTTCCACCGAAAGGCCAGCCAGGTGCCCCCTCCAGTAGCCATGTGCAATAGAGGCCTGGGGGGGGGTTGTGGAAATGCCTTTGGCTCCGATGTGTGGGATCGCACTGTTTCTTGCTTCCATCCAGAAAACAAAACCAAAAACAAACAGCTGTCTTTAGTTTTGCCAGTAGGAGTCCCTACGACCTAAGGTCCCTGAACAGAGTGGCCTCTGGGCAGTTGTCTTATCTTACTATCCACGTAGGGAGGGACCTGTCCATCTATGGGAAAGGCCACTGCCCAAGGCCACCACCCATCTATCTATCGAAACTGTTGCATTTTAGTGGGACCTGGCCAGGGCTAGATTGCCTTTTTTTTGGTCACTCTGTCTGATCTTGGACTTATTATGTAGCCAAGGATGACCTTGAACGCCTAATCCTCCTGCATCCATCCACCTCGCAAATGCTGGGTCACAGGTGTGTACCACCATGTCTAATGTATGGGGCGCTGGGGATTGCATTTAGGACTGTGTATTGTAGGCAAGCACTCTGCCAACAGGGGCACAGCCATGGCCCCCACACCGATTCCTGACTGCTGTGTCCAGTGTGGGCTTTCTACCGGGCTGTCTGCCACCCGCCTCCACAGTCCAGGAGACAGCCTGTCTGGAGAAAGGAATCAGGCTGCTGCCCTGTCCAGCATGGGCAGCCATTTCTCTTCCACCTGCTCAACGGTCAGGGGCATCAGGAGGGACAGACCATGCTTGGAGGCTCAGGGTACTTGGGTTTAAATGACTTTGTAAATGTATGGGCCAGCCATATCTGCCTATCTCATGGCTTCTGGGGACATGTGTAAGCACATCTGGAAAGACAGTGGTGACCTCAGAGTCCATAGCCACTGTCTGTGTCATCACTATTGATCCCAGGATGGATGCAAATACAGCCATTGATGTTCCCACAGGATGTGGGCTGTGGGCATGGAGACGGGCCAAGAGTATGCCCATTGTTTTTTTCCCCACAGGACCACTGTATGGGTCAAACCCACTATCCCTCCCTCTATCGCCTGGGTACCAGATTATATCATACCTGGCAGGGTTCTCCTCTCTCTCTCTCTCTTTGGTTTTTGGTATTTCAAGACGGGGTTTCTCTGTGTAGATTTGGCTGTCCTGGAACTCATTCCATAGCCCAGGCTATCCTTGAACTCACAGAGGTCCTCCTGCCTCTGCCTCTTGAGCCCTGGAGTTGAACTCACCACTACCACCCATAAAGACACACAGCTTTAATCCGGGGTACGCCTTCCGCTGGAAGCCTATAGAAGGACAATGGAAGAAGGAAGCTTTTGTTTGCCCGCCCTCATCAGCGCATCCACCCCTTCACTGGCTTTGCAGCCTGCTTCTTCAGGGTTCCTGCGTATACAGGGGACCAGCCAAGACAGCTTGCCTCATGGACAGAGCAACTACTGGACTTCCCGTTCACAGCTAGCCATCGTTGGACTAGCTGTCAGTCATTTCAATAAATCCCATACATACATACATACATACATACATACATACATACATACATACAACATTTATTAAGTTCTTGTATTCTAGAGAACCCTGACTAATACAGCAGTATAATTTTGAATCTGTTTCTGGGTGTCTGGACTCCCTCTTTTCTCTCCAAAGCAGCTTTACATTGGGAAAGAATGGTTCACACTTGGCAGAACGCTGCCCTGACTTAAGGAAACATGGGCTTCAGTCTGGGGGTGTGGGGGTCTCCACATATTTGTGTGGGAAACCACATGAGAAACTCCCACCCAGTGGGAGTTCCCAGCCCCCACTTGTCCCGCACGAGCACTGACCGCCCCCCACTGTGAGATGGGCTCAGGACTATTTGGGAACCCCAGCAGGGCAGCTGGCAGTCAGCACCTAGGATTTCCTTGGGGTTGGTTTATTCATGATGAAGCATTAGGAAGGCGAGCTGGTCCCCAACCCTCCCTGGGGAGGGGGTGCCCAGTGAGGCCTTTTGTGAGCCGGAAATCACCAAAGAAAAGGAAAGACAGGGCCTGTGGTGTCCTTGGCTGGGATGAGGACACTTTAGCCAGCTTTGCCTGAATGTCCTTCGAGTCCTGCTTTCTGTTTGTATCTCAATTCTTCCGGAGGACCATGGACTTCCAGGTCATTTTGTAACCAAGTATCTATCTGCCTCGTGACATTTTGACGAGGCATGGGTGCTACTGGACCCCTGCACAGTGCATGCGGGGTACAGACTGGTTGCAAGGCCATGGGAATCCCTGCTCCTCCACCATCACTGGACTGGTCATGTCTCTCCTAGAAGACTCACGACAGAGGTGCCTTGGATGTGTGTCGGGTGCTTTAAAACTCCAGTTCTGGTTTCTCGGTTGTTTCAACTCAACCTTCCAGGGACTCAAACCTAGCAGCAGAATGGGGCTTGGCCATGAAGGTCAGAGAAAGAGCACACTGGAACAAATGGCTGGTTTAGCCCACACCTGGTGTGGAGAAAGGGTCTGTCGGCTACTGAACCAGACACACTGGCTGGGTTTAGACACAGCACAGTCTGCTTGGGGTGAGGTCACCCCTCTTGATCAGTCTTAGTGATCAGAACAGGAAGCACCTTCTTCTGCACTGGCATGGAAAGCCCCCTGGATGGACCCGGGAGAGGTGCCAATTTGGATGCAGGAGGCAATAGGTATCATATAACCTTGCAGAGTGAGCCAAGCCCCAAAGCGTTGTGCCTGGACGGCCCTTAAATGTGCCTCCAATCTGACACAGGTCTTAGCCACCAGAGTCTCAGAATTGCCTGTGGGATCATCTTCCTGCCCACAGGGAAGTGGGCGAACCCCCTGCCACCTCCTCTGGGGCCAGCTGTGGGCAGCTGGGCCTGGCCATTGGCCTGTTTTCATTGACTTCTCGCTCACTTTCCTTTAAACTGCAGTGAGCAAGCTCGAGGCTCGTTCAATTGGAATGAAGGTCTGTGGGTTGCACAGAAGGTTCTTCACAACTGTGATAAAGGTCCTGCTGCTTAACTGTGACCCAGCAGAGCTGCCAGCCTCCCCCTCCCCTCCCCCACTTTTCCCTAGACTCCCAGACTTGCAAGAAGTATCCAAGCAGCTGCAAGGGTGATTGTGTCTAACGCAAAACTCCCTGAAGAACCCACTAAAGGCCTAGAAAAGGCAACGGTGCTTTACAAGGGGCCCCATGGTACTCAGTAGCTGGCTGTATGCATATCCTTTGGGCTCTAACCAGCCAGCTGGGACCCGTTGATTGATCCTTCTGCCTCAGTGTCCTGGTTTGTACCCAGGGTTGTCATCGTTCAGGCAGTAGTCATGAATGAGCTGACCTGAAACACGAAAGCAGGAAGCCAGGCACTGCCCTCTCATAACAAAGCTTGTAGCAGCCCATACCCTCCTGAGTAGCCAGAGAATCCTCCTGACACCTGGTGGGGTAGCACACTCTAGGTATCCCAGCGGTACAGATGTTTGTCCAGAGCGTCTCAGAGCTAGAGCTCTCGTCTCATGACCTTTGACCTTGGGGGTGACGCCTCACAGTGTTTTGACAACCAGCAGTCACTGGCACACAAAGTGTGCTGTCAACATCATATGAAGTTGCCCTGGCCTTGACCCCTGCCTGTCCCGTCAAGAAAAGGGGCTGTAGTTTGCATCAGCAACAGGCAGGGTCAAAGTCTCCTCGATCAAACGTTGTGTAAGGAATCACTATGGCAGACAGTGGGGCCTGAGGCCTCCCAACACTCATTAACAACATCAAGTTCAATCATTATCTTCCTGGGGTTTATGGTGTTAAGTCAGTCCCAAACCTTGCTGATTGTGGCTATGATCCAAAGGCCTGCCCCTTACGTCAGAGGCGAGCCTCCGGGCACAGCTAGGGGGTAGGGCGGTCCACCCTTCTGCATAGTATTTAAAGCGAGGAAGGCTTGGCTATCAGCACAGTCGGCCTTCCCTCTGGGACACGCCCTCGGTCAACAGGGAAAATCCGGCAAGGTATCCTTGCATCTCTGACCCAGACCTTCTGGAAGGAAGAAAGGTAGGTAGAGTCATTTCGTTTCGTTCACCTTTTCTTGAAACATCAGCGACGGGGTACCTCGCTGTCTTCACCCTGACAACCACCCTGGCCACGTGCAACCCTTGCAAAGTCTACAGAAGGGCCTGGGAGGGGCCCACGCGAGTCGGTGTTCAGGAGCCTATTTTTCTGTTTCAGGTGACACCTGCAAAGATGCCTCCTCAGCTGCATAATGGGCTAGACTTTTCTGCCAAGGTCATCCAGGGCAGCCTCGACAGCCTGTCTCAGGCAGTGAGGGAGTTCGTGGAAGTCAATGCCCAGCTGTGCCAGCCGGAGCATATCCACATCTGTGATGGCTCCGAGGAGGAGTATGGGCGCTTGCTGGACCATATGCAGGAGGAGGGTATCATTCGCAAGCTGAAGAAATATGACAACTGGTGAGTCCCCTCAGCCCAGAGGGCCCCCAGTGCCACCTTCTTGGAGTCTGTAGCAAACACCTGAGAAACTTAAGACGACAACCAGAGTCCAGACACCCACTGAGGTTAGCATAGCCAGCCACCAGATTCTAGATAGCCACGGAAAGTGGTCCCTTTCCTCAGGGACAGCTCATGGCCTAGCAAATGTCAACATGGTCAAGTCCCTGTTGGCTTGACTTCCATATTTGAGGGACTTGGCCAATGTCCGTGTGTCCTGCTAGACTTGGAAGACCCTGACATGGGCAAGAGGGGTAAATCCCTAAGGATGCTTTGCTGAAATAATGACTTCTTTTTTCTTTTTTAGTTGGCTGGCTCTGACTGACCCCAGGGATGTGGCCAGGATTGAAAGCAAGACGGTCATCATCACCCAAGAGCAGAGAGACACAGTGCCCATCCCCAAAACCGGCCCCAGCCAGCTGGGCCGCTGGATGTCAGAAGGGGACTTTGAGAAAGCTTTCAACGCCAGGTTCCCTGGGTGCATGAAAGGTGAGGGGACCCGAACCCCGAGCCTCACAGCGTGCTGTGTACGTAGTTCATGTTCCTAGTGGTGGCCAGAGCTGCACAGGGTGGCCAGATGTGAACATGTACTTCCCAGTTCTGTTGGATGGACAGTGACACAGGAATATTGGAGTGTTCTCTGCTAGTCCTGGTGGCACAGGCCTGTCATCCCAGTCACTGAGAAACTGGGGATTCGAACTTGCAGCCTGGCCAACTTACACTTTGTCTCAAAATAAAATCTGAACAGGAGGCTGCTGGTATGGTTCAGTGGTAGAGTGCTTGCCTAGAATATGCAAGGCCTTTGGGCTCAATAAACAATACCAAATAGATAAAATAGAAAGTAATAAATTAATTAATTAAATGTTTCCCGTTCACGTGGATTTAAAGCAGCATTAGTCCAGCCAAATGGGAGGATGATGAAAACTTTAATTCTGGCAAAACAGTCTGGTGGCCGACAGGACACGACACAGGAGACATGGTTGTAGGTACTGTTGAGAAGTGGGTGTGAGGATGCTTGGTGAGCCTCTGTGACTTCCTACCAACTCTCGCCCATCTGCCTCTGTAGGTCGCACCATGTATGTCATCCCATTCAGCATGGGGCCACTGGGCTCGCCTCTGGCCAAAATTGGCATTGAGCTGACAGACTCGCCCTATGTGGTGGCTAGCATGCGGATCATGACACGGATGGGGACATCCGTCTTGGAGACCCTGGGCAACGGGGAGTTTATCAAGTGCCTTCACTCTGTGGGGTGTCCTCTTCCCTTAAAAAGTAAGTGCATTCTTTCTTTCCAAATCAAAAGTGAGTGGAGGGCGGGGGTGTGTGGAGAGCATGCTTGAGGCCTGAGCTCCTTCCCAGATACCAGGCAAACTGAACCTGGTGAGACAGGCCAATCATCCCAGCATCCAGGAGGTGGAGTCAGGAGGATCAGAAGTTCCAGGCCATTCTCAGCGCCACAGCTGGTTCAAGGCCAGCCCGGAGACCTGGGCAGCAATGTGCATTGCACACTCACGGGCTGCTTGCTTGTTTTCAGAGCCTTTGGTCAACAACTGGGCCTGCAACCCCGAGCTGACACTGATTGCCCACCTTCCGGACCGCAGAGAGATCATCTCCTATGGAAGCGGTTACGGTGGGAACTCGCTGCTTGGGAAGAAATGCTTTGCACTGCGGATTGCCAGCCGGCTGGCCAAGGAGGAAGGGTGGTTGGCAGAGCACATGCTGGTGAGTGGTCAGGAGATCCTGGGCAGAGATGTGGAGGGCCTGGGGTGCCAAAGGAGAGCCATGTCAAGATTCTCCAACCCCTGAGGACTTGAGGGCAGAGTCGGGGAATACTAAGCTGACTCTAAGTGCCTTGGCGTTCATCTCTTTGGAAGCAGCTCAGACACACTGCAGCAAGAGTGAACTTGGGGGTTTTATTCTTTTGCAACTCATCAGTTTACCCTGATACCCAAGGAATAGACCCGAGAATACACCTTTGGGGAGATCCGAGGGCATTCCCAGACCTCTGGGGCTGGAGGGACCACAGGTCCGCATTTCTTATTACAGTGACTTCTCAATCTTTCCTGCTCTTCTCTCCTCTCCTCCTCTCCCCCCTTCCCATCTCTCTTCCTTTTGATTCCCTGCCTCCTCTCCCACCCTCCTTCTCTTTTACTATATGCATGATACAGAGGAGGGGTTTTCTTGTGACAGTTTCAAACATGTGTGTCAAAGGTTAGAGACTTTAATGCCATCCTTATCCCTGCAGATCCTGGGCGTGACCAACCCAGAAGGCAAGAAGAAATATCTGGCAGCTGCTTTCCCTAGCGCCTGTGGGAAGACCAACTTGGCCATGATGAACCCCACCCTCCCCGGGTGGAAAGTCCAGTGTGTGGGTGATGACATTGCCTGGATGAAGTTTGATGCCCAAGGTGAGTTTCAGGTCTGGGAGGTGACAGTTTTGACCCCTGGTGAGTGGCTGGTTTTAAGTATGCCTCCTTCTCCTCAGGGGCTGGCACTGGGCGCTGCGTGTCTGAGTTCAGGGTCAGCAAGGTCTCAGCGGGAGGTGTGAAGAGGGGAAAGGTGCAGGCGTCTGAGTTGGCCACGGTGTGTGGATCAAAACGATGGTTGCGCAGTTTAGGGAGGGAGGAGAAAGAAGGGGAATTTAGCAGGTGAGAGCCTGGCAAAGTGATAAGGACTCTACTGTGCTTGGCTCCAATTCACACTTCCTTTCCGTGGTTTGCAACTTTCCAGGCAACTTACGCGCTATCAACCCAGAAAATGGTTTTTTCGGAGTCGCTCCTGGCACCTCCGTGAAGACAAATCCCAATGCCATTAAAACCATCCAGAAGAATACCATCTTCACCAACGTGGCCGAGACCAGCGATGGCGGTGTTTACTGGGAGGGCATCGATGAGCCGCTGGCCCCAGGTGTCACCATCACCTCCTGGAAGAACAAGGGGTGGAGGCCGCAGGATGGTGAGACTCCCCAGGAGGCTGCGTGCTCCAGGTTGTGGGCCCCACCTATCCGAGCCACACGCTAAGAGATTTCTCTCTCCTGCAGAGGAACCCTGTGCCCATCCCAACTCCAGATTCTGCACCCCAGCCAGCCAGTGCCCCATCATCGACCCTGCCTGGGAGTCTCCAGAAGGGGTGCCCATTGAGGGCATCATTTTTGGTGGTCGTAGACCTGCAGGTGAGGCATCTTTCTCTTCTGGCTGGGAACCTAGGGTATGGCGATGCAAAGAAATCCAGGGAGTCTTTCCCCCTAACTGGTTCAAAGATCCCCCTCCCTCTATGCCCATATTAACTGGACAATTTTAAATGTCGGGCTAGCCTTCTGCTCTCCAGTGGCCTTTCGGGAGCTGTGATCTGAGATAGTGCAGGCCAGCGTTCTGCGTCACCGAGAGACCTCTCTGGAGTGACAGGGTTTAGTGGCTTCCTGTTCATTGTCTCTGCAGATGTAAGACCAACTCAGCAGAAAATGTTGCACGTCAGGCAGGGTGGCTCACACCTGTAATCCTAGCACTAGGGTGGCCGAGGCAGGAGGATTGCTGCGAGTTCGGAGCTACCCTAAGCTACAGAGTGAAACTTCCTCATCCAAAAAAATGATACTGCTTGGCTGAACAGTGACATAGCACCGTGAGTCCTAGAGAGTTTGGATGGATGTCTAAGTCTTTAACCAGCATTTTCTCCCTGCTTAAGGGGTCCCCCTTGTCTATGAGGCTCTCAGCTGGCAGCATGGGGTGTTTGTAGGAGCAGCCATGAGATCGGAGGCCACAGCTGCTGCAGAGCACAAGGGTGAGTTGAAGTCTGGGCCCCAACCCCAGGAAAGGCCCTTCAAGCCCTCTTCTCGGTGTCTGCCGTGGAGGGAGGAGGGGAGTGAGTCTGTCCCATGGAGTCAGGGCTGAATGGCGGTCTCTGTTCAACAGGCAAGGTCATCATGCACGACCCCTTTGCTATGCGGCCCTTCTTTGGCTACAACTTCGGCAAATACCTAGCCCACTGGCTGAGCATGGCTCACCGCCCAGCAGCCAAGCTGCCCAAGATCTTCCACGTCAACTGGTTCCGGAAGGACAAAGATGGCAAGTTCCTCTGGCCGGGCTTTGGAGAGAACTCTCGGGTGCTCGAGTGGATGTTCAACAGGATTGAAGGGGAAGACAGTGCCAAGCTCACACCCATTGGCTACATTCCTAAGGAAAACGCCCTGAATCTGAAAGGCCTGGAGGACGTCAACATGGAGGAACTGTTAGGGGTCTCCAAGGAGTTCTGGGAGGAGGAGGTGCAGGAGATCGGCAAGTACCTGGAAGACCAAGTCAACGCTGACCTCCCCTACGAAATTGAGAGGGAACTCCAGGCCCTGAAACAAAGAATCAGCCAGATGTAATCATAGCCCGGGCGTCTTTCAAGTCAGCCCTTCCCAGCATGCACTGGGAGCCAGGCAGAAGCCAGGCCTGCTCCAGCTTTGAGATAGCACCTTTTATTAGTCAGGGGAGTACCACAGAGAACAGGCTAGGGACAAATGCGATTGGGCGGGGAATCACAGCACACGCTCCAAGGTTTGCTCTGACAATGACGCGGGTTTGTTCTTCAAGGTCACTCAGGAATCCAGGTCTTCCCCTTAGCTGTAGCAGTTAGCTAAAATGCACAGAAAACATACTTGAGCTGTATATGTGTGTGTGTGCGTGTGTTCGTGCATGCGTGTGTGCGCGTGCCTGTGTGTGCCTGTCCGTCTCATTGTCTACAAAATATTTAATACCTTTGGGGAAAATCTTATCTGCTTTGGGGCAAGCTTATCTGTTGTTGTAACTAGAGAGATGTGTTGCTTTGTTGCTAGAATGTATGTTTAAGTTATTTTTATACACTGCCCTTCCTTACCTTTCTTTACATAATTGAGATAGGCATCCTGACCACTTCTTGGGGGAAAAAATTACAAAATAAACTTTTATAGGAAAAGTGAATTTCATTGGCTTTGGTTTTTCTTTTTACTTGATCTAGCAAAGGGAGAGCGCTCTGATGAAAAACCTTTAGGTTTACTCCTGCTCCTGGGGGAGACATAGCACTACCTCTGAAAGGAGGGAACTTGTCAGGGGCTGGGGGTGGATGGGGGACAGGAAGGATGCCGGGAGAGAAAGCAGAGCTCCTGGTTTCCCGAATGCTGAGTCATTGGTGCCACTAGTGGGCGCTCTTTAGCAGCTTTACGGGCAGACCTGTGTGTTTGCACAGCTGGATCCAGAGGGCTTAAGGTGAATGTTAAGGAGAATCTGAGCTTAGGGGCTCAGCCGCCTCCAGAAGGGCGCTGTGGACAGACACAGGCCTTTGCCTTTAAGCCCTTTTGTGATCAACACTTTTCTCAGTTGCCACGGGCCCAGGGGGTGGGGGAAAACCCGAAGGAAGGGCATTAATCTCACCCCTGTGTGCTCAACATACTGGCTGCCCCATAGCTGCCTGGGAAGAGAGATTGCAGGGGTTGGCCCAGGGTCAGCCTGAGCCCTTCCCGGATTCCTCTGCTCCTTTCCTTTATTGGTTGTTCCAGAAGAGTCTAAACAAAGCATAAACTTTATATAGTGTGTTATATGGCGCTCTGGCCTTGCAGTTATGCACTTGTTCTCTCGGAATGTGTTTTCCTTCAGGGAGCAGTCGGATCACTTCAACTCCTCTGCCACACCCAGTTGCTGGCTCGTTCCCAGTTCCCATACTCACTACACAGCTTGGGCCACACCCTTCCCCACACACCTCCATAGACCCACAGTCCCTCAGGGCTCTGTTTGGCGGATGGTTTTCAGAAGGTGAAATGGAGGCCAAGAGCATCCATCCACCAGGGACTCAGTCTTCCCGTCCCCCTTAAGGGAAGCAGGATTTTATTCCTGAACCAGAGCCATGGGCTTCTGTTCTCATGGGCCTGGATGACTCCCTCTATCTGTCCCTGACTGGGTGGGGGCTTTGTCCTATGTGACGGCTCCTGGTGGGTTTGCTTGTGGGGTTGAGCTGACCTCCAGCTCCTTCCTCCTTCCTAGCTGACGGTCTCAGACATGTGCCTCCTGCACCTCATCTGTGTTCTTCATACAGTGCTAGCCCTGTAAGGTATGAAGATATGGAAAGAGACAGCACAGCTCAGTGCAGGCTCTTGGGCTCTGTGAGAGACTATGGGTGCAACGTGACAAATTGAGGCTTTACCTCTTCTCTCAGCGTGTCCTTAGGTGACTGCATGGAGCTCTGGGCCTCGACTTACCCTGCTGTAAAATGGGTAGATTTGAATTTCCTTGAGGATGTTTGAAGAGATCCACTGATTCAAGAAAGGGTATGACACAGAAAAGGACCCTATGAGGACAATAATTTCCAGGCCCTCCCTATGGCTGGGTGGGAGCCATATCATGGTGGGACCTTGCCTTTCCCCTCTCTCAACTCTGATGAGCAACCGTGGCTCAGGAGCGGCGCTTGGTCTTCTGTGGGGGCCCCATCCCCACCCAGGACTCTCATACACATCATGGTTTGGGACAGAAGGAAGACACGCAGGGCCATGGACAACTTTCTCTCAATGTCCCAACTGCCACATTCACCCCAGCCCTTCTCCTGACAGAGGGTCCCGAGCCTGAGTCCAGCAAGTCTGCCCTTCTGAGGTGCATTCCTGAGCTAGCTTTGTTTGTAGCTTAGTTTGTGGCTCTGGCAAGCAGGAGGCCCTGGGCTGCATCCACGGTTCTACAAAAAGAAAGAAAGGAGGAAGAGAAGGAGGGAGGGAAGGATGAAAGACTGTTTCCTAAGCAGGCCTTCACCTACCCTAAGAGAGCACCCAGGTGCTGAGGGCCAAGTTGCCATCCATTGTGGCCGAGGCCTGGGGACCATCTGGAAAAGCCCAGTCACAGGAATGAATGGCAACAGTTGTAGCTCTTCCAGAATAGACCATGGGGTAGCCATTGGAATGGAAGAAGAGGTCACCTACCCAGGCAGTGTCTGTCCCCAGACCCAGCCTCTGCTCTAGACTCATGTCTTGGGGCCACTATCTCTACCAGCAGATTTGTGCATGGTCCCTCTTGCCCCTGACCCCAGGACCTGCCATTCCACAAAAGCCCCCAGAACTTCGCTGCAAGCCAGTATCTAGATCAGAGCAGGAGGTCCCCTCAACTGCTAAAACACAGTGTGTGGCCCCCATTGAGATATGTAAAGTGCCTGTTGCAGGGACAAATGGTGGCTTGAGGTGAGGCAGCTGTTGGGTGGGGTCAGTTGGGGCCTTCTTGCCTACCCTGGTTTTCCTGCCTGGCTCTCACAGGGAGCTCAGCACAGTGAGGGCCCAGGAGAGGCTCAGGACTCAAGCTAAGCCCACTTCAGTAGTCCTGTTCCCCCGACAGGAGGGCAGCTGGGCACGATCAATGAGGAGTTGATTATTACAGAACTGTGTCCCTGAGTCATGTTCTCTTAGCCATCTGGGTCCTCTCGGCATCAGGACAAAAGCTCAGAGGTCTCTGAAGTGCGTAGAGCAGGGACTTGGGGACCGCCACAGCAGAGCGATGGACGTCACTGAGTCCACAGCAGCCTCGGAGTGGGGCCAAGAACACATTTACGTGGCTGACATTCTCCCCGAGAGCCCTGCCCACGCAGCCCGGGTCCTGTGGCCTAGCTCGGCTGCGAGCCCCTCGGTAATGGGATATGCAAATGAGCCAGTGTTTGCCAGCCTGAGTGGCAGGCCTACTCTCTAGGCGAAGCAATTTACAGCGAAATATGCTGTAAATATTTGTTCAGCCCAGGAAAATGACTTTAATTGCATAATTAAACTTGCAGGCTCTACTTCCAGATGAAGGCATGGGGAGAGGGAGGCAGCCTGCAGCTGTCTGTCCCTCTGTCCCTCTGTCCCTCGGACATGTCAACAGACACTCCTGCACTTTCTTCAAGTCCTTCTTCCCACAGTGCAAGCCTGGGGAGCAATGGGGGAGGGCGAAGGGAACAGAGCAGACCCCAAATCAGAGCAGCTCTGGCAAGAGTTCTCGGGCTGGCAGGCCCTAGCCCCGATGCCCAAACAGCGCCAACGAGTTCTACCACCCATGGGCGACAGCGGCTTGAGCCGAAGGTCAGTTCTGTCCACTGGAAAACACTCATAGAAGCTGCAGTGGTGGTGTAGGGCAGTCCTCCTGCTGATCAGTTGGCTGAGGCAAGATCACAAGTTCGAGGCCTGCCTGGGCTCCAGAGTGAGTTCAAGGTCCCCCTAGTCAACTTGGTGAGACCTTGTCTCAAAATCAAAACTAAGAACAAGGCCTAGGACTCAGTGGTCGTGGGCTTGCCCAACATGCATCAGTTCCCAATGATGCAAAACAAAACACACACACACAAGGCAAACAAATCCAGAACCACCAGGAGAGGAAGAAGGCCGCGTCACACCCATGCAACGAACCCAGCCTTCCTTTTGAAATCAGCACATGTTCCTTTCCTTTCTCTCCTCCCGTCCCTCCTCCTCTTCCTCCTCTCCTTTCTTAGACCGGACCTGTGGTCCGGTACGGCCTTTACACTTTCTGTCCAGCAGAGGCCGATCTTGAATCCCTGACCCTCCCAGCCTCTCTGTCTGGGATCACAGTTATGTATTACCCAGTGCTTGTGGTACCAGGGCCTCGGTGTGCTAGGCAAGCACTCCACCAACTGAGCTCCAGTCCCAGTCCAACAACCACATTCTTTATTATAACTGGAAAAGCCAGTCAGCAAAGACACACGCTGGCTGAGTCCATTCCATGAGAACCAGAGCCGGCTGGAATGAGAGACAGAGGCAGGTTGGTAGTGAAACAGGGGTCCAAGGAGCAGAAGGCTGAGGAGTGTTCACACGGCACAAAGTTCCTTTGGGAAACGTTCCAAGGCAGATTGTTGGGGAAGTTTGCATAGCCCTGTGAATATATTAAAATCCATTAAATCCTGCGTTTTAATGGGTGGCTTTTATGGTATCTGAGTTATTGCTTCATAAAGTTTGTTTAAAAAAATACAACATAAACAAACATTCACTTAACTCACATCAGAAACTAGCTGCCTTCTGAAGAGAGAGCTAGAGGCAGGCGTTTGTCACCTGCTAAAAGATATTCATGCCTCACAGGGATTCTTTTTAGAAGAAATGGCAAAGTTTTAAAGGCAACGGAACAGCTGTAGGCTCACCCCAGGTTCAAGGTCATTTAATTTCAGGTCTGTGAGGTTCCTGGGAATTCATCTCATTCATGACTGGGTAAGCCAGGTGTGGGGGTACACATCCCAGCACTTGGGAGGCAGAGGTAGGCTGATCTCTGAGTCCGAGGCCCATCTGATCTACAGAGTGAGTTCTGGGATAGCCAGAGCTACACGGATAAACCTTGTCTCAAGAGAGAATGAAAGCAAGAAAGGAAGGACAGAGAGAGAGAGAGAGAGAGAGAGAGAGAGAGAGAGAGAGAGAGAGAGAGAAGAAGAAAGAAAGAAAGCAAAATAAACTAAGGCCTAAGAAGGCAGGCCCAGCAAAAAGTCCTTTGGCCACCAGGTGGCAGAGCTGAGACTTCCAGGCTCCTCAAGTTCCAGGAAACTGCACAGACCTTGACCATGGCCATGACTCTAGATTATCCTGCTCAGCACAGGGAAGAGACCCTAGTTTGGAGACCAGCACCTGCCAGCAGAAGGAAGCCATGATGCTAGGCATGGTGCTGGCACTTAGGATTGCTGCAGAAGAAGAGGCTCATGGGCATGGGCACACCCCAAGGCTCTTCACCTTTTGTCCTGGGCAGAAGCCTCTGGCTTGCCCTTTCCAAGGCCTTGAAGAAGCGTTTAGGTCTGACAATAAGACATTGGACTGGCTTTGGGAGGACCCCTTAGGGAGGTAGGAAGAAACCTGTTTGGTGACCAGTGAGAAGACAGACATTAATACTAGAAAGACCTTGGCCACCACATCAGATGCCATTCCCCAGAGTACAGGGGCAACTTTACAGGCTGGACGAAGGGAGGTACCTGCACCCAGTTTGCTTGCTGG